TTTCATAGTATTCTCTTATAATCTTTTGTATTTCTGAGGTGTCTGTTGTAACCTTTCCTCTTTCATTTCTGATTTTACTTATTTGTGCCTTCTCTGTGTTGAGGCTTCTTTATGGCTTAGTTTGTGGTTAGGTTTCATAAATGTTCCATCTATGTTTGAGAAGAATATATATTCTGCAGGGGACAGTATTCTATATTATCATTTAGATAAAGCTTGTTAATTGCTTTGCTTAAATTTATTTCCTTACTGATTTGTTTGGTTGAGCTATCAATTACTGAAGGAGTATGTAAAAATATCTCATAATCTGATGGTGAATTTTGTCTATTTCTCCCTATAATTTTCGGTCAATAGGGAAATGCTATTATATACATATAAATTAGTATTGTTAGATCATCCAGGTGAATTGAACCTTTAATCAATGTTATTACCTTCTTTACTCCTAATAAAACTTTTTAACCTTAAGGTTCATGTCAGCTTGCTTTTCGTTAGACTTTGCCTGACAAATTTCAACCTTTCTATATCTGTGTGTTTAGATGTATCTTTTGTAAAAACATATATGTTTAAATCCAGTCTGACAGGGCCGGCCCCGTGGCTTAGGGGTTAAGAGCGCGTGCTCCGCTACTGGCGACCCGGGTTCGGATCTCAGGCGCGCACTGACGCACTGCTTCTCTGGCCATGCTGAGGACGTGTCCCACATACAGCAACTAGAAGGATGTGCAACTATGACATACAACTGTCTACTGGGGCTTTGGGGAAAAAAAGCAAGGAGGAGGATTGGCGATAGATGTTAGCTCAGCGCCGGTCTTCCTCAGCAAAAAGAAGAGGATTAGCGTGGATGTTAGCTCAGGGCTGATCTTCCTCACAAAAAAATAAATAAATAAATAAATCCAGTCTGACAATCTTTATCTTTTAACTGGATCATTTAATCCATTTAGATTTATTGTAATTATACTTGTGATATACTTGGATTTATTGTATCATGTTTTTTTGCTTTCTATTTGTCCTGTCTTTTCCATGAGTTTTTTCCTCTTCTTTCTTGCTTTCTTTTGGATTGATTTTTTTTTCCCTTCCATTCTTTCTCCCGCTACTAGTTTGGAAGTTATATCACCTATTTGTATTCTTTTAGTAGATATTGTAGAAATTTGAGCACGCAGACTTGAACTTATTAAAGAGAAATCAGTGTCTTTATTTTCCTCTTAAAAAATATCAGGCATTTAGAACGCACTAACACTGTCACACTCTTTAAATTATAGGCTCTTGTCATGTATTTATCTTTTCTTTTAACCCCATAATAATAATAGTAATTTTAATTATTTAAAAATTAAAAAAATAATTTATATTTAAATATTTAATTATTATTATTATTTTATAAGGTTGATATCTTTACTTATCTATTTACCCCTGTACTTGCTCTTCATTTGTGGTTAAATCTCAGCTTTCTGTCTGGATTGTTTTCTCTCTGCCTGAAGTAAATACTTGACCTTTTCCTTTAGTGAAGGTCTATTGGGGGCAAACTCAGTTTTGTGTGTGTCTGAAATGTCTTTATTTCATACTTATTCTTGAGAGATTTTTGCAAGGTATAGAGTTCTGTGACTACTTTCTCTCAGCATATTGACAATATTCCTGTCTTCTGGCTTCCATTCTTGTTATAGTGAAGTAAGCTCTCAGCCTAACTGTCATTCCTTTGAAATTAATCTATCTTTTTCTGTGGCTACTTTTAAGATTTTCTCTTGTCGTGGTGTCTGTGCAGTCTCTCTGTGGTATGTCTAGTTGTGGGTTTCTTTTTATTTTATCCCACTGGGTTTCTAGAATCTGTGGACTGGGTCTTCATCAATTCTGAAATTTTATCATCTTTTTAAAATACTATTGCTTCTGACTTCTCTTCTCTTCTTCAATTTCAATTGTTTTTCATTTCTAGAAATTCTATTTGATTCTTTTTAATATTGGCTTGGTCATATTTTAAAGTCTTTTGTTCTTTCTGATATTTCCAATCCTTCCTTTATTTCTTCAAACATATTACAGATGCATTTTTATATACTGTCCAAATATCTGAAGTTTTTTGTGGATCTGATTCTGTTGTCTATTTTTTCTCACTCAAAGGCCCTTATTGTGTGTTTTATGACATTTGAGTGAGAGCACACACTCCTTGAAACTTTATAGGATTCTTTGAGGCTAGGTTGGAGGTGAGCTCCACCAGGGAAAGCCAGCTGCCAAAGAGCACTACCTACTTGAGATCATATTAAATGCAATTCTTAGGTTAAGGTTTTTGGATTTTCCAGCTAATGTGAATTCAGGCTAAAACTCTCTTGAAGATCACCTTAAGGTTACAAAATCTCAGGGGAGATTGTAATTTTCCTCCTCTATTCAGTGTCAAGGTTTGAGAAAGGCATTTTCCTTGCAATCTCCTATGGAGCTGTGTGTGGGAGATAGTTATTTCTAGTTCATCCTTATGCTGAGTATGGGGTCCTTTGTGGTTCCAGTTCTAGTTGAGTGGTATATTAAACCCCATACTTGGATAGGCCCTGGGCATTGTCTCCTGTCCCTGTGCCCTCCCCTCTAAACTGTGAAACTAAGGCTCAAGGTCACCAGGCTGTGCAAATGCCCTCCAGCTAAAAATTGACTTCAGTTCACTTTCCTCTCTGGGTTCCTACTTTCACATAGTGTTTGTCCTTTGAGTATTTCTAAGTTTTTTTAAGCTTTGACCAGAATTTTTAGTTATTTGCTGTTAGAGTGGGTGTCCAGTCCACCACGCTGGTGAAACATAAGCCTATTACTTTCACAATATAAAAATATATGTGTACTCATTTTTAGTGATTATTTTATATTATCCTTCTCCCTAAACTTGAAATAGCTTCTTCACAAGGGATCTATGAGGTTTTCAACTTTTCATAAAGCCTTGGAACAAAGTGGACAGAAATACTAGAAAGAGAAAATATAGTCTAGTAGACCACCAGGTCTGTCTTAATCCTAAATTAGATCAGAATTAGGTTATACCAGTTTTGTATATCATACCATTATAATTGAGTATGTTAAATCAATATATCAGGGCCGGCCCCGTGGCCTAGTGGTTAAGTGCTTGCGCTCCAATGCTGGTGGCCCGGGTTCGGATCCCGGGCGTGCATCGATGGGCTGCTTCTCTAGCCATGCTGAGGCCGTGTCCCACATACAGCAACTAGAAGGACGTGCAGCTATGACATACAACTATCTCCTGGGGCTTTGGGGGGGAAATAAATAAATAAATAAATAAAATTATTTTTAAAAAAATCAATATATCATAAATGTCAGAGGCCACATAATAAGCCTCTTCATGCATGGATATCTCACAATAACACTCCAGGATACTTTATAATACAAAGAAGCTAAAGTTCAGTTTCAGAGCATGAGGGAAAATACAGGGTAGAGGGTCTTGGAAACCTACACAATATCGAAACCTTACTTTAGGGCTAAAATTCTTTTCTTAATTAATCTATCACATTTGTTGAGCAATTACAAAATGCACTGGCTCAAATTTCATTAGATTCTTTTTCCTTGCCACTCTCTGAGGGTGGGATGATAGAGGGTGAGTAAAACATCAAAGGAGACTAAAAATCCCCAAACCAGGTCCTTGATTCCTAAAGTAGTGTTAACCAGAGAGTGCTGCCATCTTCTAAGGTTGACGCCTCCCCGTTCAGGCTCCTGGGACATCCTGGATTGCCTGACATTCTCCTCACTCTCTGTGGAGTCTGAAGACGTTGCCAGGGAGCTAGGGAGAAAAAGGGGGAAGGATGTGGGATAAAGTATAAAGTATGCTTTTGGAAGAAAGCAACTAGTAATTCCCTTGACAGGATTTTTGCTTGGCTTCAAAAATTAGTTAGCTTTTTACGCAGCTTGATGGAGCCTGAGTTTCTACCATTACAGCTACATTTGTTTGGCTTAAGTTTTCGTTAAACTCTTAAAATGGAAATACCTCTGAGACTCAAATGCCCACTAAGCAGAGAACAGCAAATCAGTGACATTGACTGTAGGAAGTGGTGGGACTGTGGCAAATTGGAGAATACACCCCTGTCCACAGAGGCAGCCTCTACTTGGCTCGGCCAGCTGTTCGTAGGCAGGAATGTGAGCCTTGTGATTTTTTCCAAAGTCAGCATCAGCATTTTTATGAGAAATTCCATGATTTTTAAAGTGTTAGCAACTAATCCCACATTTTAAAAAAACCGGAGAGAAGGCCAAACAAAACATATCTGTGGGCTGGATGCTGTCCACGGGTCACCAGTTAGCAACCTTTGTGTTGGACTTTGCTGTTCGCTGGACACCCCATTGTGAAAGAATTTATCACATCTTTTGCTGGAGCAGAGCAGAGAGAGGGAGAGAAGAAATGTAAGGCCATTCATGCAGAGCTGTGAGGACGGAGAGGAGGAGAAGTAGGGAGAGGGAGAGAAGACAGCAGGGAAGCCTTCACTATTCTGAATGGACTGGGCCATGGGCCAGAAAACCCTATGGTAGATGGGCTGCCTTTCCAACAGCTGGATTTGAAAGAACAAGTGAAATCCTACTATTTCAGGATGCTGTTAATTCCAAATGTGAACTTTTTGAGTCATTCTTTTTATATGGAAGTCATTAAAAAATGTACAAAATATTTTCAGGAGGAATGTGCAGGATCCCTGAGAGATAAGTGGGTTCATAACACTTATCCACATAAAACAAATGAAAACTACTTATAGGTAGTTCTTTTCTAGTCATTGATTAAACAGATCTCTAAAGACTTCCACCAGGCAAACATTCCTTAGTAGTGTTGGTTACTTAAAAAAAAATATTTTATAACACATTGTTTTAGCTTGTTTAGAGAGACTTTCCACCAGACTTTTCCCTCTGAATGTGGGACCTCATTGCGTTGCACTGAACCTGCCCACAGCCCTCAGGTGGGCAGCAAATAGGATCATGCCTCCACTCCCCATGGGTTGGTAAATGTCCCCACTTCTTTATGAGCTTATTGAGATCTCTCCTTCCCATTTCCCCTAAAGGGCGGCCTCTTCTGCCTCAGAGAGGAAGAGAAAGGTAGACCACAATGATGGAGACCCACCAGATGTGCACAAGAAGCTACCGTCCAGTGCTGGGGAGGACCGAGCCATGCTGCTAGGGTTTGCAATGATGGGCTTCTCAGTCCTGATGTTCTTCTTGCTTGGAATAACCATCCTAAAGCCCTTCCTGCTCAGGTAAGAAACAGAGAAAGGAGACCCAGAATTTGCAATTCAGATCAGACACAGGTACCATAGCAGAAGGGGGAGGCTGGCTCTGGTTTCTCCAGCCCTCCTGACCACTGTCTGGGACACGGAAGATGGAATCCTCTGTTCCTCTCTCAGTGCTGGGAGGCAGCTGGGTGTGGAGGTGCTGCTCCACCCCTCCAATCTCAAAAATACTTCCAACAACTAATCTACACATTCGATATTCATGTAGGTAATACATTCTTCCTTTGACAGCACATATTCCAGGGAAGGGTTAATTGAAGATATCACAAAAGTTTTTTAAGTCTGGGCTTTTTGAGGTTGACGATGCCTACCTGGCACATAGTAGTTGCACAATACGTGTTAGTTTCCTTCCTTTTCTTTTAATTAGTTTACTTATTAAATACGTGTAATAACAGTAACTATTTATTAAATATATACTATATGCGAGTATATACTATATTTTATCATATTTAAGCCTACAGCAAACCTATGATGGAAGCATTATTTTATTATTTTAATTTTCATTTTATAAATGAGAAAGCTCAGGGGCCGGCCCAGCGCTGTGGTGGTTAAGTGCGCGCGCTCCGCTTCTGGCGGCCTGGGGTTCGCAGGTTCGGATCCCAGGCGTGGACCTGCACACCGCTTATTAAGCCACCCTGTGGCGGCGTCCCACATAAAGTAGAGGAAGATGGGCACGGATGTTATTCCAGGACCAATCTTCTTCAGCAAAAAAGAGGAGGATTGGCAACAGGTGTTAGCTCAGGGCTAATCTTCTCACCAAAAAAAAAAAAAAAAAGAAAAAGCTCAAAAAGGCCAAGTAACTTGCCCAAGGTCACATAGCCAGTAAAGAATCTGCCTGTCATTCTGACATAAGACTCCTGGCCTGCTCATACTGACGTGAAGTTCGCTGCAGTGAGGAGGATGGGTTTTGATTAGGGCAGGGGAGAAGCTGTTTAATTTTGGAGGATGGCTCACACAACATGGGGTAGTTTGGGGGAGGGCAGTCTTGGGTAGGGGGACAGCAAGGGACATTTTCCCTTTGGTTAGCCAAAGAGCAACATCAGGCCCTCGGGGGAATCGGAAGAGGGAGGCCTAGGAGCTCAGTGAAGAAAAGGTGTCAGAGAAAAGGAAGTGAGTGGCCTGCTTTTGTTATTTATCAGGTTCATCTCCCACCATTCCTGGGTTACTATTGTTAGGGCAATAATGTGGAGGTCATCATCCACCACAGCACACAGTGCCACTATTAGAAGTGTCCCAGGGGAATTTTCTCTTGGGTACTAGCACCAGGAGAATCTGTTCTGCTCCTGATCAACCAGCTTACTTTTATTCAATGGACACCAGGAATCTTGTATCTGGTTGTGTTTCTTTCATTGCTTTGGCTGCTAGGAAGTTCAGAGCCAAGTTTGTGGCCCAGTTCTCATAACTGTAAGGGATCTTATAGTCCGCAGGTTACATGTTCGTATCTCACTTGACTTCGTTCTAGCTTTCTACCTTCCTTTTCCTGTTACTCCATTTTCCATATAAATATTTATAAATATATAATATATATTTATATATATTTATAAATATTTATTTTATTTTATTTATATTATATATTATATAATATATATTATAAATGTATAAATATATTTATAAATATTTTATATATAGATATAAATACCTGCATTACATATATCTACATAAGTTGAATAAATATGTGAGTGTCTGTGTTTGTGTGCAGGTCAAATTATTTTTAAAAACTGTGATATATTTGTGAGATATTCTGCAAGCTGGCACCAAACTGTTGTTCATATTTAAAATTTACTTTTCTAAGCGTTTCTGGAAATTATTTGCTTAAAGTAATTGAGTGCTTGAAAGTGGTGAGTTCTCATCTCTCTCTTGCCTTGCTATCTTGTGCCACCGGAGAGTAGTTTTGCTCCATGAAAGATGATGGTTAAGAGGCTTGGGCCACTTGTACTTATCTCCACTCCCTTAAACTCTCATCTCTCGATCAAATGATGCATTTTGTCTCTTTGTAGACGTATTGATACACAGTGATATTGCAAGAACATGCTCATTTTTTCAGCCCTAAATACAGCTCTGGTTCCACCTGAAAGGCTCTGGCCTGGCCCTTGTGCACAGGAAAGAACGTTCCACTCTCTGTAGTTTCCTGAAATCTGCAAGGTTCAAATCATACTCAGTGTGGCACTTGGTTAGGACTTAGAGAGCTTAAGTTCTAATTCAGATAAGCAGACAACTCTAAATGTTTTAAGGTGCCTAGTCTAAATAAGTATAGAAATTAATTTTGTGAAAAAGCAGGCCAATGCTAAACCTATGAAAAACCTTATTTTCGACTTTTGTATTTTTACTTGCCCAACATTTATTCTCCTAAGGCCATATCCAGTGATTTTTTTTTTATACTCTTGGTCTTGAGATTGTAATAAACTGCACTGTGTGTCTCAGGTTTGTTACAATAATAAAAAACGATGATTACTTATGGTCAAAGATCTTAATGAGTATGCAGTATGATGCCTTTCAAACATTCTAACTTTAGCATTTGCGAGTCTAACTTGTGTGTAAGGCACCAGGAAATAAACACAGGAACCCACCTAGATGTGAGTGAGGGTACATGAGGAGCTGGTCCTGTCCATTCCATCAGAGCATTTCCTCTCACCCTCATTTACTTTCCCTTGGGCTTGTTCTCCAATTATTTCATCCATATATGTCCTTTATCTTCAACATCGCCACAAAGTCTTCACGGGCAGGAATTTTGTCTACCACTTCTCATTGCACCCATGACTTTCCGTGTATGTAGTACAATGTGTGCAAATTCTCAAGGAATGTTTTCCAAGTAAAATTTAGTTCCGTACAACACTTATGGAGCCTCCACTATGTGAGGGCCATGGTGCTTGACGCTTTGAGGAATAAAAAGATGAACTGGATGTTGCTCCTGACCTCGAGGAACTTCCTAATAGCAAAACCATGGTAAGTTTGCTAATGAGAGAGTCCTTGTATGGTTTCCACTTGCCTCTCTGGAAGTAGAGTAGGTGAATGGAATTGTATGTACCTTGTTACCAGAACTTTTTGGAGACTACATTGACTAAGAGCCCTGTAGAAGGCTGCACTCCTTCCAAAGTCACATTTTCATCAGGACAAGCCAATGGTGCATCTGGAGATGATGAGGCATGAGAGATGATAAGATTTCTGAGTGTGTGTGAATCTCGGTAGTTATAGTATTTAGGGTAATATTGCTCAAAGTATGGTTCTCCAAATACCTACATTTTAATACTATTAATTATAGATTCCTGAGCCTCAATTCAGATCAACTGAAGCCAAATCTCTGGGCATGAAGCCATAGAATACACATTTTAATAAATTCTTCATTCTAACAAACTCCCTCAGGTGATTATAAAGTTTGAAAATCATTGATCTAAGGGTTGGTGTAGTTGAGAAATATGCCAGGAGGGTCATAATTGAGCTGGAACTTGGCAATTTGCTGCTGTTCATCCCGTTTCAATGTCCTCCATGCTCCCTACTCATAACATGCCTTCTGTAATGGTCCTACATTACCTTGAAATAGACAAATGCCTCAGGTTACCACACTAGAAATATAGAACTAAACTTTTTATAGAGTGAAACTCATTTATTTTTTCAAATTGAAGCACTCAGAGAGAAGAATCAAACTGCACTGTCGTCCACACGCATGTCACGGATGACTGGGTGGCCTGGGCTTTCACCTGTGGCGTGGACTGCCAAGGTCAGGGCCAGTACCCATGTCTTCAGGTATTTGTGACCCTCACCCATTCAGGCCAGAAAGCTCGCCTACATTATAACGAAGAGGCTGTCCAGATAAATTCCAAGGTAATGTAAAGTTCATGTAATTAAAGAGTTCTTTTTTTAGATTTTATTTATTTCTTTTTTCCCCCAAAGCCCCAGTAGATAGTTGTATGTCATAGCTGCACATCCTTCTAGTCGCTGTATGTGGGACGCGGCCTCAGCATGGCCGGAGAAGCGGTGTGTCGGTGCATGCCCGGGATCCGAACCCGGGCCTCCAGCAGCGGAGCGCGCGCACTTAACCGCTAAGCCACGGGGCCAGCCCTAAAGAGTTCTAATTACAGCAAACTTTCCACGCCAGACTGTCCCTAGCGGGGTGCAGTACCCACGGCCGTCTCTAGGGATAAATCTGTTTCCTTCCAGTGAACGTTTTGACAGTGGTCAAATCAGGATAAATGAAGCTAAAAGTATTCTTGGAGGAAAAATGGGGTATCTAGAAAGGAGAGGAATTATTCCAATTTCACAAATTGGTGTCTGGACTTTACGGGCTGAGCCAATGAACAGTCGTTTGTGGCCAGTATTACTTTTGGAGGTCCCACTCCCCATCATATCAAAAATGTTAAAATATACTCACAATCCACCTTAGATCAAGTAATTTTCCTTATCAAAGAAATTTAAAGGATTATAATTTTGATTTTAATAAGCTACTCAACTGGTTCATATGATTTGAAGTGTACATTTACACCTAACTATAAAAGTTGAGTTGTATTAGATCGGTTGACATGTTACATTTTGTTGTCTTTACTTAGGCAGTAATTTCAATCTGATGATTTCTGTTTTCTATTTTAGCTGCAATAGTTTTTAAGGTCTTAAACATTTTTGTAGGCCCTTGGGACAGTGCCTTGAGTGCCTAGTGGATATGATAATAAACCTCAAGATTTTTGAAAAAATCACCAGCTGATAGAGCTCCCTTCTCTCCACTGGTTCTGCCTCCCAGGAACCAAATCTCAGGTAGGGCTGCCGCTCTGTGGGCCTAGGGCAAAAGCCTCAATATGCTATCCTTTAGGGAAAGATTTTACTACAGGAAATCAAGACAGAGACAATAGAGGCATTAATAGGTATTGAAAGCACATAGAGGACTCAATAAATGACAAATGGATTTATTGAGTTGCTGCCCAGGAAGAGACTGATGACCTGCACGTGGGGAAGAGCATGGTCCTTATGAAGTTGGTCACTGCCTTTTCTGTAATGTCTTTATTCTAAGAATTCCTTCCCACATTCTTGCTTAGTGCCTGGAAATGGCCATTTCACTCTGTGCCCTCCTGCCACCCTTTTCCCCGTGAGCTATGTAATAGGATTCATCACCTTCTGAGATTGAAACTCCTCACTAATAGCTTCAGTTTGAAGCTATATTTCAGAATTAAAACCGTTGTTTAAGTGCTTGGTCTTGGGGACAGTGCCCTCTTCTTTCTTCCTCCTCCATATTCCTAGTGCTTCTATACACCTAAGTGCCACCGAGATAGGAATGATTTGCTCAGCAGTGCTCTCGACATAAAGGAATTCTTCGATCACAAAAATGGGACCCCCTTTCCATGCTTCTACAGTCCAGAGAGCCAATCCGAAGATGTCATTCTTATAAAAAAGTACGACCAAATGGTTATCTTCCACTGTTTATTTTGGCCTTCCTTGACTCTGCTAGGTGGTGCAGATTGTTGGCATGGTGAGATTAACACAGTACCTGTCCCTACTCTGTGAAAAATATAGCACTGCACTCAGACATGAAGCGGGTGGCAAAGTTCCTCATGTGGGACAGCATCAGTTCAAACTGGGGGGTGTAGGGAGGAGCAAGGGAAGGAGCGGAGAAGTCTTAAGATGGTGGCCAAATTCAAGTCCTGGCCTTCAGATACCTGCAATTTCTGCACTTGAGGACCTTGCAAACTAACCGTGTAGAAGCAAACTTAAACATGGTATTTCATGTGGGAAAGAAAATTAAAAAAAAAATTATGTATTCTATTTATTCTATAAATACATACAAATTCACTATCTTTTCTACTTCAAATCTCTTTCCACATGAGCCAAGGAAGCATTTTTTGCTTTTACGTAGCAAAATGAGCTCCAGGTAGTTGTGCTGTATCTAACTGCAGCTCTAGTTAGAACTTGTCAATGTGGAAATAAATGTTGAAGGTATCTAACCTATTGAGCACTGAACAGCCAGCCTAGTTCTACACAATATAGTTCATATGAAAACATTTCTCAAGAAAATTCTTAGTGAAGAACAGTTCATTCACTGTAGGAAGATAATAATCTGGTAGTTTCAGAAAATGTGGACCCACCATTCTACTTCACCATTCATGATAAAAGAAGAAAGCCGCTGCCTAGAAAATTCACTAAGCTTCGAGTTATTTGTATGTAACCTTGTCATGAACCATATAATTTTTCTTTCAGCAACATTTTTCTAGTTAATTATGCTTTCCGTAAGCTCATTTTATTCTTGTGCACGTTCTGGTGGGCGTGGGAGAGAGCGCTAGAAACGTGTTGTGAAGTAGAGAGAAGCTGTATTGGACGGAATTTAACATTCATCTCAGATAGTGCGCATTGTAGAGCAGTCCCAAGTGGATCGTCAGCAATTGTCCATACTTTAATTAATGAATCAACCATGGGTATTAAATAATGAATGTCACAACTCTCCCAACAAGTGCTTTCCAGATTAAGCTGAATATATGACTTGAAAACAGAGTTTGTTCTGAAAACCAGTGTGCCTCAAAGTATCTTTAAAATTGTATTAAAAAATTTTACATCATGGGTAATAGAAAGAACGAGACTTTTGAAGCAACTTTTATGTGTAGATGTAATCAAAACAGAAACTTTGATTCCAAGTCAATTCAATGCCTTGTAGCAAGTAATTTTGCCACAAATTATTAAATAAACTGAATAATTAAACAGAGCAACCTTGACTTGACTAGTAATGAATAATTTTGTTTTCTCCTCTTTCTAGTGTGAAATAGTGGCGAGAGCATCTCTGAGTAAGATTTATTTGAATTTGTAGGCCATAATTGTAACTTTTCAGATATGTATCCTTGGGCAATTCAGCTGACCTGTTCGAGCCTCTCTCTTCTCATCCAGAAAATGGGGATAATCTCTTCTTTCATGGGTTATTTTAAGGAATAAACAAGGCAGAGTATGTGAAACACCTAGCTTAGTTTCTGGCACCTAGTAGAGGTGCTCAAATATGTTAGTAAGATAAAAAAATCGTCGCTAAGTTTTAATATTCAGTCAGCCTTATCCCTCTTCTGGGTATATACCTGAAGGAAATGAAACCAGTATCTCCAAGCGATATCTGCACTCCCACATTCACTGCAGTATTATTCACAATAGCCAAGATATGGAAACAACCTAAGTGTCCACTGACATATGAATAAAGAAATTGTGGTGTGTGTGTATATATATATATATATAATATACATATATATATAATGTGTGTATACATACATACAATGGAATATTATTCAGCCTTAAAAAAAGGAGATCCTGCCATTTGCAACAACAGGGATGAACCTGGAGAGCATTATGCTAAGTAAAATAAGACAGACACAGAAAGGAAAAAACTGCATTTCACTTACATGTGGAATCTAAGAGTCAAAAACGTAGAAGCAGAGAGGAGAATGGTGGTTACCAGGGGTGGGGAGGCTGGGGAAATGGAGAGATGCTGGCTAAAGGGTACAAACTTTCAGTTATAAGACAAATAAGTCTAGAAATCTAATGTACAGCATGACGACTACAGTTAATACTGTATTGAATAACGGAAATTTGCTAAGAGTAGATTTCAGGTGCTCTCATCACACACACACACACACACAAGGTAACTGTGAGATATGTTAATTAGCTTGACTGTAGTATTCGTTTCACTGTGTATATCAAATCGTCATATTGTTAACCTTAAATACATACAGTTCTTATTAAAAAAAAAAAAATTCAGTCAGCCTTGGCACTTTTACTGGACAGCGGGTATAGGGATGAGGGTAGGGAGCTGTAGAGGAGGATTCCTCCCCACCTTCTCTTGGCTAAATATGATATGCATTTAAGGTCCAGAACATGCTGTTTAAAAGGTTGTGGTAAATTGTTTTGTATACCGAAGACTTCCCTGTAATAAAGTATATGTATGCATACACATTTTAAATCATTCTACAAATTGAGATTCTATAGATTTCTTAAATTAAAGGCACATCACTATTCCATTTCTTATAAAGTTTGACACCCATCTAACACTATGCAACTCTTGGGGTTTTTCTCGTAACAAATTCAAAACAATTAACTTGAAACCCAGAGTGTGTGAAAGTGTGAAACCGAAACTGTTTCAATTGCTACAGTTTTCCATTAATATAGTGGCTACTTGGTTCATCTCAGCAAAGAGTGACATTATGCTTGGAGAACAAAGTCAATTTAGAACAATGTTAATTCAAAGTCACTCAAAGCATTTGGCAGATAAACAAAATTTAAGTAATTATTTGCTGTTAATTGCTTAGAGGTACTAAGTATCATTGCCCATGTGCATTACTGCTCCAAGAAAAGCCCATACTTACCTTTTGCAAGCTTTACAATAACTGAAAGCAAAACCAGTTTGCTTCTAGCCTAAATTTGCTTTTAGGTTCTGGTATTAAACTGACTTGAAAAAAAGGCCATCTACACATACACATTCACACGTGTGTGTGTGTGTGTGTGTGTGTGTGTGTATATTTCTACTTAAAATACAAGCATATAATTCTTTATGCTTAAAGGAAGTTAATATTTAAACAGATATTTCTCTAATATTCATCACTTTACCGGGGCAGAAAAACTGGCTTTTAAGGCATAATACTTTTATGTTTTCCATCAACTATTCTTAGTCATTATTGATAAGAAGTCAAATTCAGCTAAATTTTGATTATTAGCAACACTGGTTTGCTTTAAGTATTCATGACAAAATATAATTATCACAGTTTTTTCTTTGTATATATATAGTACACTAAGGATTGTTTGGACACAAGTCAAAGTAATTTTTTTTTTTTTAATAAACAGCATGATGTTACAGACTGCAAAGTTCAAGAAAAGCAGACATTGACAGTTTCCGATGAGCACAAACAGTAAGTGCAGTCACAGGCCAAACTTCTTGCTAGGAACAGCAAGACTGGGAGGTCGTCTTAAATTGAGTGACACTGGATTATTCTATATTCTCAGTACAGGAACACATGCATCTTGCTGTGTCAAATACTTTTTGGGCCATCATTAAAAGAACATTGAAAGACATTTTTCTCCTAATTAATGCAGTATACCACAGGACTTCAACTCACTGAATGACAAAATATAGAGAAATAGATCTGCTACAACAAATGGGGCTAAAAAGGGTGGTGGGAGCTCCTTTTTGAAGCTTCTGAAGTCAACATTTGATGTGTTAGTAGTCTTCTTTTGGTAGTGCCACATTCCTTAAGATATTAAAGTGTTATGTTCCAGAAGGATATATTCTTTTAGATTTTATTCAACCCAATTAAGTCTGAGGACTGAATCACATTGAAACTATTAGTGCATTTGAAACTTAGGTTCCATAGCCAAAAATATTTCTAGAAATCAGAGGAAGGCCAAGCTCTCCAACCACTCTTATGAGCATAAATTAAATCTGATAAGAGGCTTTTTCTTATAAAATCAATAGATGACCACATTTGGAAATTCATACTAGAATTAAGTAGTTTAGTCTTATTAAAGATATTTTGAGAAAATATAAAACAATGGTTTTCTGCCTCCTTGCTAACCTAGGATTAACAAAAATAAGAATCACCTAAAAATATACATGGCTCTTAGCATAACCACAAAATTATTGCAGTGACAGATTAAATAAGGTTTCAGATAGATTCATAGACTTAATTGGCTTACAAAACACATTAAAAAACTCTTTCCATACTTACCAACGTGAGGAATGGAGTCTACTGTTGGTAATAAAATTCAGTTACCCAACTACACTAAACGTGCAATGGATTGATTCTACTTTTTTTCTCCCTGCTAAAACTCTCTATGTAATTGTGTAAAAGTTAAGTCAGAAAATGTCCTTTCGGCTCCTGTCACTTTATGCTAACTAGCATGGCTGTAATATTAATATCTAAAACTAAGCAAGATGAATGGTGCTACACTGATAAAAAGGAAGTGCAAAACCTTCATCAAGTGGAATACTTGAATGAAATAAGCTTATTTAAAAACTAACATCCCAACTTGGGAAACTCCTAATAAATTCTCAACTCTTCTGAACTTTAGAACCTTGATGTTTACACCTTTTATGAAATATGCCTCTTGTCCAGGGCTAGCAAGCAGCATGTATACAAATAGAAATGTGTGGAAATATACACACATCTATTTCACTAATAAAGAAGAAAAGAGAACAAACCTAATTTCAAATGCCGAATTCAAGAATCTAGTACCATGAACCTCCTGGCACTATATAGCCTTTTCCAAATGGCTCGAGCAATGATTAAATTTTAACCAAAGAATTTTCTTAATGTCTTCAACACCATTAAAAACAAGGCATGCCAACTCTGACTTTATAAATCTAAAATACAGTTCTCTGCAAATTTCTGTAATATCAGAGCCTGAAGTATTAAATTGTGACTCATCTATTTTTTTCCGTACTAACCTTCTGAGGTAGAGTTACCAATCCAATTTTATCAGGACCATAGTTATCTTGAGCTAAACCCTATATATCTTTTCAGAAAGTGAAAATAACTTTTAAGAGAAAAGAAAAAACGCTTCCCAGGCCATAGCACGTAAGATACATTTACAACTTTTAATGTAATAGTTAAAAAATAAAAATGGTTTGTGTTTATATTTTAAAAAACAGCCCAGCTGTATTATTCTCTGTCACCAAGAATTATTATCTGAGGACCCTGTCAATGCTGAATTTTATGGTTCAGCCTTCACAATCCCGTCCTTGGTGAAGAGTTAACTCCCTCACGGTATGCACAATATACTCTCACAACTTTCAGTCTTCTCTTAGTGCCCCATCTGAGCAGGATGGATAAGAAGAATGTAATTCATTCAAACAACTCCTCCTTGTTCTGCCCCTCTCTCCACATTCCCCTCTTCTCAAAAACATCTGCAGTACGAAAGTTGTTTCTAAATAGTAGAAGCACCACAATCTATTAACACCACATATGGTCTTTAAAGTGAAATATTTTAGTGATGTCTTGGACATCAAAATCAATTTTTAAGGTGGATTCTGAGTGTGTGGGTCCAGCCCAGGTCTGCAGTTTATACAGACACACAAAAAGAACTTATTCAGAAAAAGTTAAACTGCTGGCTTTAAAATAATGCTGGAAATTAAATTTCTTCAAGAGTTGGAAAGCATGGGCTATTGGGCAGAATATGAATTAAATGGATTACAAAATCATTAAAAAACAAATCCCAGTTTATGTGCTATGAAATTTCCATGGTGCCCTTAAAATAGACAGGCTGCTCATAATTTTTTTATAATGCCAAATTACTCAATTTTTGATGGAAAAAAGAATACAGATGGACTGTGTTTTACCTATGTGAAAATCACCAATCAATTTAAAATAAAATCCAAGGTGGTATATACATTCTAATCAAGTCATTGATTATTTTCCTAGTTAATAAGAACTACACTTTACACAAAATACTTTATCAGCAGCTGTTTTCATCAAAAAACCAATAGTCATAGTTTCACAGTTGAAAAAGTTACACATTAAAATATTTTACAATTCATTATATATTCACCAGGTTCTCATTTTCTAAAGGGCTTGTAATATAAAGCAGATTAGAAGGGAAAACTTCAAAGTTGATTACTTTGACACTAAGTTTTACAGAGGACACTAAGAACCACAAAAAGCTTAGGGTCTATCGTAAAATAGTGACCGAATTCCATTCTTGTTTAAAAAATCCAATTAGAAACATCTTTTTTAAAAAACCAAATTCCACAATATGATTAACAGATTTCAAATTAACAGCAGTCTAAAAATCTTCAAAATAAACGATTTTCTATAGCTGAGAATATGATAAAAATTTAAAGCATGATTTTCAAAGTTATTTCTTGCTAGAATGTATTTAAAATTGTTTTATTTCCCTGCTTTTCTTTCTCTAAAATATTCATTGAAGGAAATATTGCTCAAATGACCAAATGAAATTGTAGAGCCAATAGTCAGTTAAACCATATTTAATGACAAGGATGGTTGGCCATAGGAACTGACCAATTTTGACCTCTGATACTGAAGTACTTGGAATCGGCTATATATATCACTAACTTGAAACATATCTTAGTCACCCCATGTAGATTTAATTCAAGTTTTGGTTCTTTGCCTTCTGAACACCACCTGTCCCTTTTTTCTTATTTTTAATGTGGTCTGCTTAAACTCTGCTTAGATTTGTTTAAAATTTACGTTGCTTTTAGCTAGATCATTTAATCCATATTCTTAATAAAATTTGTCTATACTTCTTCAAATAGAATTAACTTGGTTGTAACCTTTGAAAATAAACATAATGATGAAATAAGCTATGTGGCTCGTGTTTTAATGGTGGAACAGGGCCCAGCGGAAGGGGACTATATGGACTTGTGTGAAAAATGCAAAAGTTGTGTAAATTTTGTGCAAGAAAGCTCAAAGCTTTTTTGGCATTGGGTAAAACACGGTTCTCTGTTAAAACTTCAGTTACCATCAAAGTTTCAGATTTGTACCATTTCACTGAGTTTTCCTGTAATCAATCCCTGATATAGAAAAGACTGGGATGTTATTATGTATTAACTAAATATATCTAAAAGACACAAAATGTTAATCATGAAGTTTTAATAAGTTATGAAATCTTCTATATCTGCAAAAGAATCTATCTGGTTTCCTGCTTAAAACAGAGTTTAAATTCTTAACTATTCCCAAAGACAGTTTAGAGAAGTTCCCCTAATCTTCAAATTTATTTTTCTTGTTGGCAATATTATATACATGCTTTAGTGAAGTACCTAAATCTTCAATAATTATGCCCTTTAAGGGTTCTAAAATAGCCAAATATTAAGAGTATTTGTATTAGAGTCCCTTGTTCACTATTCAAGACTTCTACTAGAGGTAACTGATATTTCATAAATGAATATTTTTTAAGTGATGCTGTTTTTCTAGAATATACAATGTGCACTCTTTATAGAAAAGTTGAATTCCAACATATGCCTAATCTAGAAAACTGTCAGTAAATTATTGCACTTTTCCTGGTGTGGCACCTGGACATTTGCTAAAGCTATTTCCTAGGGCATTAATGATTCATTTCAAATACTGAGTAAAATACCAGATTCTAGAGTGATGACTAGCATTAGCCCCTACATCTTGGGTTAATGTTTTTCAAAATGTTTAAGAATGTATCCTTTGCTCAAATGCAATTTAATAAAGTTGGAGAGTGAACCCTGACCACTTGGAAATGGGACATGATCTTAAAATGGTTTAAGGTCCTACTTGTATTATTGCGATATTGGGTAAATAGCCTAAAAAGATAAAAAGTTCATGGTTTCTATTCCCCCATATTATAAAGTATTATTCATGAGCATACCTCGGTAGAGGGTTTAAGCAATCAGGAAGATACTCTAAGTTGTGTTAATTTTGGTAAATAATTTCATATGATTGAGGTATTCTCAACTATAAAAGAGGATAGAAGATGGGGGATTCACGTGAAATCAAAGAAATAAAAGGAAAGAGGATAAACTTAAATCTGTGTTCCGTAAGTAGTTACACACTAAGCATTGGTAGAAATGGGATAGTGCCTGAGCCTTGCCACAGACCAAGAGAAAAGCTGACCAAGCTGCTACGAACAATAAAAAATTTGGGGTGCAAAACAATGCATGACTATGGGACAGATCATGTAAATAAAGAATATATATTAATGATAGGTTCTATAATATAAATAGCCTTTAATAAAAAAAATAATCTTTTTAATAACATTAATACTCACTTCTATTTTCTGGAAAACATGCATGAAAAATGTATTCAATTCAGTTGCAAAAGGAGGAAAAAAAAAATCAACCTAAGGTGAATACTGTACAATTCTGGAGCAAGAATTATTCCTGCTCATACTTTCTCTATGATGATTATTTTACTTTGTGGGAGCCCAGATTTTCCCTGGGAAATAAGAATCAGATTCTTGTAAATACTGTCCAGAAAAAAACCTAAAAACACCACTTTATAACAGGTCTCATTTGTGACAGCTTCCAAAACTTTGCAGATATGACCCCAAATTGTCAAAAGGTTTGATTTATTAAAAAGGAAAAGTCTCTGGTGAAATCTCAAGAGTCCCTTCCACCCCAAGCATGTTTCTTCATTAAACAAGGAGTCAAAAAACCCACTTCAAACTATAAATTGAACAGCAATGGAAAAATAAGAAATTTTCATTATTTTCCAATCTTAATGTAATTTAACATTAAACTCCAGTTTACTTGGACCTAATGCAATAATAGACTTTGTTGTGTCCACATTTTAAAACATAGAACATTTGCAAGACAAAAAAAGAACATCATTCTTTTTCCTTCTCCATCATTTCTATATATTTTGGGGTTTTTTTGTTTCATTTTTTAAAAAAAGATACAAACAATCTTCAAAGTTTACCTTTTTGGACTTAAGGCATAACATGAAATTGCGCATTATTCTAAAGCTTAATTTTGAAATGAACTAGTTTAGTGCTATCAAACCCTGTTTGCGTTTACATTATTTAAATTATATAGTATTTTATTTCTGTTCTTGCTGTAAATTCTAATGCTGTTCATGGATTGTGCAATTCCTATGCAATCAGTCTTTGCCTGTTGACAGTTATTAACAGTGCAGTATAGAATCCAGATATTGAGCTTTCAGTTTCTTAGTTATCATTTCAGTTCAAAGCATGCTGCTTAATTGTGTGGAAGATCCAATCCATTTTTGTTGTCCATCCACCATGGTGTGCATCATTCATCTGTTTCATGAAATATTCCAAGGCCTCTTGCTCAGTTTTATCTAAAGCTAGGGTCTTTCGAATGTATGCAATATCATCAAAAGATTGTAGTTCTGGCATTCCAGAGCCAAGCATCATTGAGAAAAGATTTATGAAGAGATTGGCATGTTGCCGAATAGCTAGATAAGCCTTGTAACACATCTCCTGAAACCTATAAGTAATGAGAATAGCTTGGTCAGTATGGAGCAAATGGCATTAACACCTTCAGGTCTCTGCTCAAATCGCACATCAGGAGAGAGGCCTTCTTGGACAAACCTATAAAAAATAGCATTCCTCTCCCCACTCCCCTTACCAACACTTTCTATTCCCTTTACCCCACACTAGAATGTAAACTCTGTGAGTCCATAAGGACTTTGTTTACTGCCTTATCACCAGCACCTAGATTAATGCCTGGTACATTAGGAGTTTAATAAGGATTTATTAAATGTATGAATTGGTCCACACTAAAGCCATTAGGATTTAGGCAGGGCCAGGATTGAGTTACAGATAAAATGGAATTTTATAAAAGGTTTTTAAAAGTACTTTAAGGTTTAAGATAGACTAATGATATACCATAAGGTGGCAAGAAAAATTGTGAATAAACACGGTAATTATAGTTGACTGAATTCCTCAAATTAAAAAATGTTCTCTTAAGCACTATACATTATTTGTCAATAGAGAGAAGGTGGAGTCCAACTATTTAAACTGCACTAAATAAAAACTTTTAATGTATTATGAAGTTTAAGGATCACTTTCTTTTTAGGACTTAATTGACTAAATAAATTAAGTTGGTTTTTCTTTCCATTTTCTTCACAGCATTATACAATAAATAAATAAAAACAAATATATTAAAATATTCAGTTTATGCTATAATGTTAATACAACATGTATTATTTTATTTAATTAATTAATTAATTAATTTATTTTTTGTGAGGAAGATCAGCCCTGAGCTAAGATCCATGCTAATCCTCCTCTTTCTTTTGCTGAGGAAGACTGGCTCTGAGCTAACATCTATTGCCAATCCTCCTCCTTTTTTT